GGTCTTTCATTCTTGTATGTCTTCAATCAGAAGGTGAATTTTGTGATTACGAATTTTAGATAAATGTCAAATGATTTGGAAACAAATATTTTGCAGGGACTTGTCCTTCAATAATCTGAGTGGCCCTACCTCAAAAATATTAGCTAAGGACTATAGGTGAGGTTTTCTGAGTAGTGATTTTTATTATTCATTCAGAAGGTCATCTGTATTTATCGAGTTTGAGAATTTTTTGGGTAAGAGCATGGAGGAGCTAGTTAATCATCTTTGAATCTGTATCTGTGGCGTAAAAATGAACGTTCGAACTTGCTCGACCATCTTTTTGTCCAATGCTATTTTTTTTTTTTTTTAATTTGTTATTTCTAGGAATTCTTCCCAAAAAAAATGTTATTTTGGATACTGCTCTCTCCTTTTGAGTCTTTAAGGGCTACTTTTTGTTTCAGTGTTGCAGGGAACACCTTTCTTTGCTCTTCATCCTCACAAATTTGCATGCATATTCCCAAACCAGTGAATGGTACTATGTTAACAATCCTTGGCAACCCTTCTCCTTTGGTACAGCTCATTATTTCATGGATAACGATTATATTTCTTGCTTTCAGAAACAAATTCAATCACCAGGGTTAGCAGTCATCATCATCATCGGGTTATTGCTGTTATCATTGGAGTCAGTTGCACATTTGTAGTCTCTGTCATGCTTCTTGTTTGTTGGGTGCATTGGTACAGATCCCGTCTTCTATTTACATCATATGGTACCTTCAGATTCTCACTATCTCTTTCCATTTAACACATTCACTACATGTTTGGTAAGAGTTACTAAATGTGTCCACGTTACCATACATGTCATCAATGTTATGGAGACTATAAGATGGATTATTTTGATTTGTAGTGCAGCAAGATTGTGAGTTCAATATTGGCCATTTAAAAAGGTTTACATTTCGTGAGTTACAAACTGCAACAAGCAACTTCAACTCTAAAAATATACTTGGGCGAGGAGGATTTGGGGTTGTCTATAAAGGTTTTCTGCCAAATAGGACAGCGGTGGCAGTCAAGAGACTACGAGATCCAAACTTCACTGGGGAAATGCAGTTTCAGACCGAAGTTGAGATGATAGGCTTGGCTGTGCACCGGAATCTTCTACGTCTATATGGATTCTGTATGACCCCTGAGGAGAGATTACTGGTTTACCCTTTTATGCCTAATGGGAGTGTTGCAGATCGCTTACGAGGTTTCCTGTCCAACTAGTTTCACGCAAACTGATACTACTCTCTCTCTCTCTCTCTCTCTCTGTGTGTGTGCATATGTATGTATTGAATCGTTGTACATGTGCGTCTAAGTTTTCGTTTGTGCATCTCCATCTGTATATGGGCATAGCTCTAGTTTGACCAGGTTGGGCTCAGTTTAAACGTCAAATCGTTAGCCTGTTATCCCCACATACCTTTGATCCATAGAGTGAGTGCCCTTCCACACGGGACTTCCGGATCATTCTGGTCAACTTATGTCTCTGTTACAATGGTTTGTCTCACAGTCAGGCTTATGCCATTATGCTCACAATCACAATCTTAGCTTCAGCCTACTTGACACACCTCCGTTAATCTTTTGGAGGCATCCGTCCCACATATAAAAAAAAAAATATATATATATATATAGTTTCCAAAATATGGACGCCTAGCTTTTGTTAACCTGTCGTTTTTTTTCTAACAGACACTGGTCAGGAGAAACCATCATTAGATTGGAGCAAGCGCATGCATATTGCCCTTGGAGCTGCTCGTGGTCTTCTATATTTGCACGAACAGTGCAATCCAAAAATTATTCATAGAGATGTGAAAGCTGCAAACATATTGCTAGATGAAAGTTTTGAAGCCATTGTTGGGGATTTTGGTCTAGCTAAGCTCCTAGACCCTAGGGACTCCCATGTTACAACTGCAGTCCGTGGTACTGTAGGACATATTGCCCCCGAGTATCTCTCGACAGGTCAATCTTCTGAGAAAACTGATGTATTTGGATTTGGCATACTACTCTTGGAACTCATAACCGGGCAAAAGGCATTCCATGCTGGTAATGGTCTGGTTCAGAAAGGAATGATCCTTGAAACAGTAAGTAGATTCGTTTTCAAAACTGAAAATTGTCGCCTATTGTACTTGAAGGAGGTGTAATCCTTAGGAAGTAAGAGTATAATCATCATGATTTTGAGCAACTATTCGAGAGCGCCTTCTTATACTGGTCAAGGCGAATATGTCCCCCTCCTAGTTTTATGGCTTAGAAATTTTACGCTAATCAAGATGGCCTTTTCTTCTTCACATAATTCATCTTCTTCCCCCATCGACCTGCCCTACTGCTTTGCCATTCCCCTCGCATTATCTCCCCACCGCAGGCCCCCTTTACCCCAACCCCAACACCTTCCCCCTTTTCTTTTCTTTTTTAAATTTTCCTTTTTCTGTTGCCCCCTTCCCCATTTTACCTTTACCATTCTCTGCTCATTATTTTGCTTTCGCATGTTTATTAGGCCCTTTATTTTCTCCATGTATGTTGGCATACATAGTTCCATGGTGGTACATGCTTTTGATTTCTAACTTACATTCTACAAGCTTTGAATGAATTATTCTTCTCTAGTTTGGCATGATGCTCCTAGATTTTTAACCAACTAAAAATGACACAGGTCAGAACCTTGTACGAGGAGAAAAGACTAGAAGTTCTTGTGGATAGGGATTTAAAGGGACGTTTCTCTGCAGAAGAGCTCGAAAAGGCTGTTGAATTGGCTCTGCATTGCACTCGATCAAATCCTGAGCTCCGGCCAAAAATGTCAGAAGTCTTGAAAACCTTGGAAGGTATTTCTGGTCAGAGGGAGTGCTTGGAGATGTCACAATGTGGAATGGAACCTTGTGAAGGACAAACTTTCAGTTTCTCCAGGAATTTCACTGATGTTCATGAAGACTCTTCCTTCATTATTGAGGCAATTGAACTCTCAGGGCCCCGATAACATATGCAGAATCTGAATCCAAGTGTAATTAACAGAAGATTTTCTTTTCAAGAATTTTTAGCCATGATTAACAGTTTTTTGTAGTTTTAAATTCTAATGGATGTTTAGTAGGATTTAAATCCTGATGAATTTATAACCAGGCTAAAAGAACAAGAACGAATGTTATCTTGTAAGATTTTTAAAAATTCTCCAATCAAGTGTGATTGGAATTTAGATTAAATCCTTACGAAGGAACAATAAACAATATGGATTTGGATTGGCTCTATGGCCTATGCTGTTTGGTCTATCACTTCATGCCGAAGGAGGCAATTCCTCGATAGCTTACTTTATTAGCAGAGAAGATTTCCTGGTTGTTCGATGATGCATGGTTACCTTGCTTTTAAATGTTACAGACGAGTCATGGAAATATCGATTATCAATGTTTGGGAACTAGTAAATATTCTTACAATGATAAATCATATAAACAAAATATATCGATTGTTTATTGGAAATGTTGGTATTTATGAAGTTATAACATTAATGTTTGAATGTCAAATACTTGATGACACGATGATTGGAGAGTTGGTGACAAAAGTTTCAATGATTTCTCGTAGATAAATTGATTTGTCCTCTTTTTGGTTTCACTAAAAAATTGGATTAAAAATTAAGTCAAAATCAGTAATTAACGCATTTAAACAATTTTTAAAAAATCTATTAAAAATTTTATTTTTATCTGAACCAAACATGGATTTAATTTGAATCATTCCAAAACTAGTGAGTAATATAGAATGAGGAAATCCCAACCCAAATTTTCGTGTAGATGATTAGAGATGTCGTTTTGAGAATTTTAGTGAAAAATGAAAAGTGAAAAGAAAGGCACACGACTACATGAGATGTCGTTTTGGTCCCAATTGAAATTCAAAAACACTCATCACTACCAAACGGCTCCATCCAACTGAATTAGGAAAAATGCAAAGAATTGATAATCGGTGAAGAGCAACAAATAATCAAATCCGACGCCAACCTGAAGGATTGAAGGGGAATTTCAGACTTCTTGTGCTCGGTAATCATCTCTTAAACGTAAAATTTTTGAATTTCCTATGTGTGTAATTAATATCATCTTAACCTAAAACTTTGCATTTCTCTAGTTTCAGATTTCTAATCAATCTCGTAAAGGAAATTGATAATGCTTTTCGTCTAAAACAAATTTATAATCACTTTTGCTGCGACAAATTTGTGCATAATGCAGCTGATTATTCTTGTGGGATTTCTTAGTCAAATTTGTATAGTTTTTGTTGTGAAAAAATTAGAAACTCGTTGAATTTTTGTATTTATGAAAGTAGCCAAACATTTTCATCCTCCAGAAACACAGTTTGATGCAATTTTGTGGAAAATCTTTGAAGTAAAAATCTATGGAGGAAGCCTCTTATATATTGAACTTGGTTTGGACAGTGGGAATATAAGACAAGTGCTCCATTTGAGGTGAGTTGCGGTGGAAATAGGGGGTTGGAGTCGGAATCTAATTTGAAGTTGCAGCATAAATATTCAATGTTGAAGTTAAATATTTTATTTCTGTTGTCGGTGGGGAACTTGCACTGATGATGTAGTATCAATCGGCATGAATCTCCATCTTTATTGTTGTCTCTTCCATTTCCTGTGATTGTGTGGGCATCTAATAAGCACGGATAATGATTCTTTTCTGGAATTTGGAGCGAGTTCTGGACTAGTGCATGTATTTTAGTTGCCAAAAAGGTGAATACTTTAGAAGGAAAAGGGTATCTGTTTGTGCTTTGTCTATGGAAATTCTCTGTTTCTTTTCATCAAAACTGAGAAAATGCTTAGAGGGACACTGATAATTTTGGCTCACCCTAAAATTTACCTCTAGCTCCATCCCTGGATCAAGTGTGATAATTTACTTCGGCTGAAGCAGCCCCATTTTTACAGTTTGTTCAAGTAAGTTCCTAGGTTCCTTCAGAATTTATTATATTTTGTGTGGAAAAGCAGTGAATTCATTCTATAATTCGGGTTTTGAATTATTTAGCCCTCGCTTTCTATTTTTCCCAAAATTTCGAAGTGGAAACTGATATTCCGTCAAGCGTGATATTAATTTCAGCTCAATTTGGAGAAGGTTTGCTCCTTTCTTTGTACTTGCAGTGATTATTAACTAAACCTAATAACGGTTAAAGTTTGTTTACTATTTTCTTTGGCTTTTACGATACTCAAAATTCTTTTTCTTTTTTCCCCTCAAATTTCCAGATAGAGTTGACAGTTTCAATGGCTAAGCGAAAAGTCAGAAAAAATACCAAAAAAACTGGAAATGATAAAAACAACGGCGATCTAGATGAAGTTCGATTAGAAAAGAAAGAAGATGCATTTCAAGACCATGAAGGTATTACTTGCATCCCATTTATTTATTTCTGTCTGTGGATTAATGTAATCTTCAAAATGGAAAAGTAATAGCTTGGACATATTAGATTAACAAGACAAAAGCCCTACTGACGGGCTTCTAATTTTTTTATTTATTTTTTCCTAATTTTGATTTCTGGTTTGTATCATTATCTCTGCAAATTGTGGTGACAACATTGTGTGCCGCCTTGAGTATGTAAAATATGGTTAATTACATTTAAGAACTACGGTGTTATGGTACACTAATCTCTTTCTGGCGAGTCTATCTAGGCATCTATGCTTCCAGCATGAAACAATCATAGAAAGTTGCTTTCCAAAACTGTATCTTCGTCATGTTGATATGAATTAAGCTGAGATGCTTCTGTATCTTAATATTTTAGTACTTTAGAATAGACAGAGACTTATATGAGCATTTTTCTTGTAGAATATTGAATATTATTTAATAGATAACTTTTTACCAATCCATGTCTGAGTAATGCATGGTGCTACCTTTCTCTGTAGCATCATAGAATAATTCATAATTTAAGACTCTGGAGTGCGGAGAGGTTTAAACCAAAGTTTTGTATCATGTCCATTGTATATGCAACTCAGATATGAGGTATTACCAAGTTCCAAGAAACTCATGGCTCTAAAGTGATGTGTTATATAATTAATACTTTAACCCTTTACTAACTTCCCTAGAAATATAGTAATACTCCTGATTTATCATTGTTCATGTTCATTTTGGGATTTATGCTAAACCAGTTAAATCCCGGTTTTCACAAATCAATACTCTATAACTGAAAGCATTATAATCTCAAGATTAAGCTTCCTTTATTGATCTTTGAAGACTCTTCGACTAGTTTTGTTTATCTTCATAATCACCCGATACTTTTGCTCAGAGTTGCGGTTTCTTAACTATTGATTGATTTCCATCTTTATTCCCCTTTCAGTTGAACGTCAAAGCGCTGCAATCAGGGCCCTTCGTGATGTGGAGATTGAACAATTACGTACTATGTTACGGCTTCTTCGTTCCTATTTCAGCAAGGAACAGTTGCAAGTTCCTGTACTGCAGTTTTTCAAGGAAAACCTTCCAAATCTATCTATTGCAAAGGATGGGAAAGATGGACAGTATGATGTGCAATGGAAAGACAAGGATTACAACTTATCTATGAACAATGCTGATGAAAGAACTATACATAATTCTCTTCTACGTCATCTGTCAATGGTTTATCCTGATTGCTCTGCTGCAATGCCATCTTTTGGTGGCTTTGAGTTTTCAAATAAATCTGGTATTGATAAATCTTTGTTCATGCTTGTAATATTTAAAAACCTGAACTGTTGTTTCCTTTTCATCTGATACAATTTATCTATTCGTGGCAGTGAAAACAAGCCTTTTTGATGCTGATAATCTGCAGAAAAGGAGTCTTGTATGTTCTTACACAACTTATACTACGGATCTTATGGTTAACAAATCATTTCAGTGGTGGCCAATACAAACTCATTTTTGTTTTGCTATTAATATTGTTTCCCCATTTTTCATCATTTTGGTCCATGTGCTCACATGATGTGTGATAAAACTCAAGGAATGCTTTTTGGTTACCTTTTTATCCCTTCCAGTGTTCGTCATTTCTCATTCTTTTAAACTTTTCTTTTTCAGGTCTTGGAAGAGCCATCTGATACTCAAATGTTAGAACTGCAGGATGGTCTAAAAACTCCCAATGTATGTAACTTTGAGAAAATTCTACAAGCTTTTTGCAGTTATGCTTTAGCATCTTTATTTTCATGTTTCATTTGCTAGCTAGACAGGTGGTCGGATACTCCAAATTTGTATTGCTTCTGGACAATCTGTCCCTCAAGCATGCAATATTTGTCGAAATAGGCATTGACGATATGAACATCACACTTATTAAAAAAATTTCTGATATTCGGGGTATAATGGTAGTACTTAGATGCCCAGTGGTAATCTCTCAGGATATGTTACTGAACGTATCTCTAGATTTTCATTGTTATATACGTACTAATTCAAGGGTAAAGTTCTCTGTATGAGCTTGTAAAATATCCTATCTTTCCTCAAATATTGTCAGTTACCTTGATCACGTCTTGTTAGTTTCTGATATAGTATGTAATCACGTTAATTTTGTAATTGCAGATGAATAATCAGAGGTTGTCAATTGGGGTGACACCCAAAACTCTAAGGCTTCCTAAGCCCGGGGAGATGCTTCTTTCTGTGCATGGCTCGCCACTTGGTGTTTATAAAGAAGACAATATGGAAACAATACAGGGTATGTTTGTGGTTTAGTTAGTGAAAAGGCAGGCAAAGTTTCCACAACTATCTTGAACTAAATTATATTCACTTACAATTACAACACTGTGTTCCGGCAGGGAACTAAATTTGAATTATTCCAATGTCTTGTATTGCAGAGTTGGAAGATGGATGAATGGAAAGTGAAGCTCAATCACTGTAGTTGAGATATTGTTGATTTGTGGTGAGATCTCCCTTTGCATTTTCACCATTCTGTCGTCGTTGACTAGTAAATAAATAGTCCAGCATAATATAGTACTGGAAACTTGTAATCAATTCTGTTAGCACCTAAGATTCTTTTATCCAAACATATGTAGTATTTGTGAGGCATAGATGGTATAATGAACAAAACTTTAGCTTCTTTTCTTCATTGACACTATGTTGTATTATCCTATCTTACCTACTAAACATGTCATTAGTAGTTAAGGGATGGATGCCTGAATCCCTGCTTCATTGATTTTGAGTTCAACAGGTAGTGTTCTATCTTTTGATGGCCCAGCTGAAATTTGCGTACCCTTATTTTTCCAAATAAGAACTACAGATTCATGCAACATTGCAACCTGGAACATCATTCTTGTGAGCTTTATATACATGGCAGCACTTGGTATCTAAACTGGTGAGACGAGAAAATAGAGGGTAATGTTCAATACAATCAGCCCTTGTTTGATTGTAGATTAAAATAAGATATTTACTATATTTTGATAAAAGTTGATGAAATATATAGTTAAAAAGTTGTGAGTCTATAAAATGTGTGGTTAAAATTAATTGTTTAGTTTGACTTGAGATTTTAATCCAAATCAAACAGTGGCTTAATTGGACAGGATTAAGGAAGAAATCAATGTTTTTGCATCAACCTTGAATAGACGGTAGAAATAATATAAGAAATGCTTTTGAAGTTATGAATTATTCATTTATACAAGAGAAATCCTTGTACTCTTCAATTTTACATGTGAAACACCCACATAAGCCCCTGATTGTGGATGATAAACATTAGATTTCAGTGACTTTTTATAAAAGTTGATTAAGCTCCCGTTTGGCCCCCATTATTTGGATTTATAATGGAGGAATAGTGTTTTTTTTTAAATTGATGGTTGTAAAAGAATGAAAAATTTTCGATTTGCGTGTAATATTATTTTATTGAAGATTGTGTGGTTGAAAATAAAAGAGAGAAAAATTTAAATTAAATTGATGAGTTTTAATGGGGGCCAAACGGAGGCTAAATGTGATTAAAATGTTGTGGATTCCAGAAAATATATAATTAAAATTAATTGTTAGCCCGATGTATACACCCACATAAGCCCCTGATTGTGGATGATAAACATTAGATTTCAGTGACTTTTTATAAAAGTTGATTAAGCTCCCGTTTGGCACCCATTATTTGGATTTATAATGGAGGAATAGTGTTTTTTTTTTAAATTGATGGTTGTAAAAGAATGAAAAATTTTCGATTTGCATGTAATATTATTTTATTGAAAATTGTGTGGTTGAAAATAGAAGAGAGAAAATTTTAAATTAAATTGATGAGTTTTAATGGGGGCCAAACGGAGGCTAAATGTGATTAAAATGTTGTGGATTCCAGAAAATATATAATTAAAATTAATTGTTAGCCCGATGTACTGTTTAATGAGGAGCACAACAAGAACTACTAAAAGATTCTAGTTGGAAGAGAGGAGATATGAGTTTTCCCTAAAGATTCAATGGGAATGGGAGGAAAGTATGTGGAGACTTGTATTTTAGGTAAATAGACGCTCGGACCTGAATCTTTACAACCCCCTTCGTGAGAATGCACCTTTTCTCCTGAAGTTATGGGCTATTTTGTGGACAGCTTTCCTTGGCCTTTTATTATATCCCTTCCTCTAAGGAGTGAAGCTTGAAGGACAGGTTCGAAACTCATTCTGTAAGATTCTCCCAAAGGTATGCATTTACTCAAGGCACTAATATTCTTACTCTCTCAATTACACGCGATTTAGGGAGGTGGAAGATGTACTGGAGTATGACCCGAGATAGGAAGAGAGAGACTTTTCTTTGACAAGCTTTCTCTCATAAAGTCAAATATGGCTCTGCATAAAAGAATAAGATCCCTCTAAGAAAATTGCAGCCAAGAAAATAAGAGCTCTTTGTTAACAGTTTTCAAAGTGGTGCAGTGTAATGTAAAATTTTAAAAATTTATCTTAGAATAAAATTTAGATTTTAATCCCTACAAAATATAGACTAAATAATGATGGTCACTTTTACTCCCCGTATTAAGTTGGCCATCAAAAAAGCAACACCTGGAAATCCCACTAATGTTTTCAGAAGAGCTAGCCCCAAAACATACGAAAAAGCGAAGTAATAAGGTTACGAAGGCTACAGAGCCGAAGTCCTTATTTTGGTCGAGGTGCCACTCGACTGAGCATATGCCAAGGCCCTGACGAAGGGTCTATGCTGAAGTCCCTATGTTTACAACCAGTTGAAGTTCTGAAAGATGAGGCAGAAGCCCTAAGATATGAAGAGGCTGTCATATCTGCCGACTTGGAGAATATCCTTAGGAAAGACTGATGGAACGTTTACTTTATTTTGTGTCAGGATTCTCAACCTAGAAATATAGGGCGATTGAATCTTTGCCAATATAATAAATACATGTGTAAGAAGGATAGAAAGAGGTAGGGGCACGTGATTCGGATCTAATGGCCACCACGTCATCCCCAAACTATATAAATACCCTCCCCTTATAAAAGGAAGCAGAGGGAGATGTGTGGAACAATAGAAACAACACATATAGAGAAAAATGGGAGAAAACCCGAGAAAAAGAACAAGGAACGGGCATACTAATTTTTGGCACATTTTTTGAGGGGGAAATAAATACAACTCCATACATTTCTTGGAATTTGATTGTGTCCCCTTTACTCTCTTTTATCATTTACTTGCAAAAGGTGTGTTCGTGCTTGGGCTAGAGTATCATTGCCCGTTCACAAGCTTTTCGGTCACTTTGTCGGTGCCTTAACTGTTTAATCTTGCGTCGAAAGAGCATCTACTGCGTCCATTCTACCGCCTTATTAAATCAACAATCTTTTGTCCCCGTGGATGTGAGTGGGCCCAGCAGTCACCTCTCCTGTGATTAGTTTTCTAAAATTACATATGTAATAAGAAATAATTAAATGGTTTTTCATTTTGGTGTCATGCACGGGTATCATTAATATTAGACAAAATGGACAAAAATGATGATTAATTAAAAGGTTAAATCATTGTTAACACGCCCATGATAATCTTTATATACAAAACAAGAGAGCTGCTCTGGAATTGCGTGGGACCTTCTAATTAACCGAAGCCTTTTTGTATTATCTCTAGTCACGATGCTAAAATATAAACATTTTTTTTTTTTGGATAAGGTAAGTATATTATATCCAAAATATAAAAAACCGAATAACAATGGAGGACATTGACCTCCCTCGAAATTGTTCCATCCAAGAAAGAGTGTCTAGCCAACTCTGTTGGACCCAAGGCAAGTTACATTTCGCATGCAGAGCATTCCAAACACGCTCAGAAAATGGGCAAGCAAAGAAAAGATGATCCAGATCCTCCACTGAATATCCACATAGCACACAACGCATAGACTGTACCAAACCAAAGCTAAGAAGCTTTGTCTGTGTATAGATGCCATCTTGAATTGCTAACCAAAGGATAAATGCATGTCTAGGAATACATTTAGGGAACCATACAATGTGATACCAAGTCACCCTAGGGCAGCGAAGTCGAAGAGACTCCCAAGCACTCTGAACAGAGAAGTCTCCATATGTATCATCCTCCCATCGCAATACATTCTCACTATTACTGTCCGGTCGAAAAGTATCAAGCGTATCTCGTATCAAATCAGACAAAGCTGGGGAGCGAACTGATGGCCATCTCCAAGTATCACCCTCCACAATATCAGCCACTTTAGCTAGTCTACTCAATCTGAATTCACGAATGATCCTCTCTCCAAGAATCTTTTCTAAAGGGCCAAGAGGATGCCAATTATCATACCAAAGCGACGTACGTCTACCATTCCCAATTCTGATTTTCATTTTGTCCCTCCCTATATCCCGGAGTCCAAGAATTTTCCTCCAACTCCAAGAACAATCCCCAGGACACTTCAATTCCCACATGCTCCGTCCTCTAAGTAAATAACAACGTGTCCACGAAACCCAAAGAGAGGAGGCAGAATCCGAACAAAGGGACCAAAGATGCTTTAACATGGCAGCCTTATTCCAAATCTCCAAGCCTCGCTGACCCAAACCACCCTCCTCCTTAGGCATACAGATTTTTGCCCAAGCCACTTTAGCCCCATCGGTGCCAAGGTCACTACCCTTCCACAAGTTTTCCACTTGCTTGATCACAGCCTTGGGTAAAAGAAATACAGAGGACCAGTAGAACTGAATAGAAAATAACACTAACTTAATAAGTTGTAACCTCCCTGCATAGGAGAGCGCTCGACAGGTCCAACTCTTAGCCCTAGCTATAATACGGTCCACCAGCATCTTACAATCCAAAGCCCTCAATTTGGTAGAGATTAGCGGAACACCAAGATAACGTACCAGTAGCACGCCCTCCTTATACCCCAAAACATCAAGCAATTGATCCTTAAGATATGTAGAAACACCACTGGCAAATAAATTACTCTTATCTGGATTAGGAATAAGTCCAGAAAGAGCTTTGAATCGATTAAGGCATTCTCCAACGATCGAGATAGAACCAACCTCAAAAGACCATAAGATCATCAGCAAAACATAAGTGGGTGATCTTCTCCTTCTCACATCTCCAATGGTAGTTAAAGTCCTGTTCAGCAACCATCAATCCCAGTAGCCCCCTCCATAGCCAAGACAAACAAGTAGGGCGACAAAGGATCTCCTTATCTCAGACCTCGCCCCCCAGCAAAGAATCCATTCAGTTCCCCAGTAATGGAAATCGAAAATCGAGTGGTAGTGACACACTCAGTAATCCACCTAACAACTCTCTTAGGAAAATCAAGCACCATTAAAACTGCAAAGAGGAAATCCCAACGAACAGAATCGTATGCTTTTATGAGATCAACTTTAAGAGCACACCTAGGCAATCCTCCCCTGCGGTGATAATTCCTCAACAACTCTTGAGAAAGAAGGATATTATTACTAATATACCTACCTTTAACAAAAGCAGTTTGTTGAGGTCCAACAATGTTTGAGAACACCATTTTAACTCTATTGGCAATAAGCTAAAATATAAACATCGTTTCAAGGATAATGCAAATTTACTGTTTGTTGCTGGTTTAATTGTTGGATACAGTGGAACCCAAAGGGAAGGTGGATGGGAAAATGGGCGGTTTAATTCTCGACTTTGTTTCATTGTCATCTCTACTTATATGCACGTCACAATTTCATACAGGTCTACTTAAAGAGAAGAAGCTTATTCACCTTCGATCTCCAATCTCATGTGCCCCGACACCCCCATAACAATTTTTATATATATATTTATGGAATAAGACGTGAAAAAGAAAACAAAAATAAACGGGAACCACATGAGAATTTTATATTATTTCGAAAAGGTCTTATGCTTATTAATATGAATATGATCCCATATATATGTAGTCAGTAGTAACCATACTAATTAAGTGTCATCTTTTACCAACTTAAGGTCTAAAGGTGTATTAAACAAAAAGTTATATTTCGTGTGTATATATATGTATGTATGTGTGTGTCCAAAAATATAAGGAACCATAGTCGTCACTAACTCACTCAAAGAATGGGACTTTTCGGGAATACCCTACCTGTTCTCGTTGGAACCAAATATCGAGAACAGTAGTTATTAGTGTATATGTGTGAATTGCAAATTATAATTTGCACAATAAGCAAAACAAAACTAAAATAAAATACTTACTTGTAATGACAAACACAAACTCGAAAAATGAGGAAGCATAACGAAGTATGTAAACTGATGCTAGTGTCTAACATTATGTCTTTACGACGAATTAGTCCTTGTCAAGGTGCTTATGGAGTCTTGGCCATCGTCTCCTAATATAAAAAAGGTGTCTCCTTGCAATAAAAACACTTCAAACCTCAAGGAATCAATGAACTCAAAAATGAATTTTCACTCTCTACTTTAAGAGCTTGTTTGGTACAACTTAAAAGTCAATTAAAATCAATTTTTTAACCGTTATTTTACTATTTCAGTTGTCATTTTTGAATTCTTCTCTTACGGGTAGGACCACTTTATCTCTAACAATCAAAAAATCAATTATCAAAATTCCTACCAAACAAGCACTAAATAATATTTTATGCAAAAAAACCAAGAATTTTTGGGGGTATTTGGATGCAATATGATTAAGACATGATATTGAATGAATTTAGACCACTTAGGGAGTCCAATTTATAGAGATTGAGGGGCCACACCTACCAAAATTCAACAGATTTTACGAAAAGACAGCCCTTCGGATCGTTCGAACTATCAAGTTATGACTTTCTTTTTATTTTTTCAACCTAACTTTGCACATCAATTTCTTATTTATCCAAAATTGGTTTTGTGAATCTGAATTTATCTCAATCATTTACTTGACAAGTAGAACGAGTTAGTTTATTCATACGTGTGAATTGACTATCAAAACATATTCGAATACTTAGCCGAATTTGATAAAAAAAAATCAACGTTTTATAAGCCTAATCCCACGCTTGTATGGCTGCAGAGTAATTGCCGAGCAAATCTCCTTTGGCAGTAAGCACACTTAAGAGAAATTAGCACGTATATGGCCAACTGCATTCTGAGATTGGATGCCAGCCACTGTAACGCCACTGCAGCTGAATGTTGCAGAGTGATTGCAATGGCGCACGGCATTTAAGAGACCAAGAAACTTGGATATGCCAACAAATACATAGCATATCCAACCACAAAAAATCCATTTTGTTGTTCGAATAAAGATTTTTTCTGCTTTATTCCTCGATCACCTCCCCATTCAAGAGACTTCCTTTTAAAGGATAAAACGTATTTAGATTAATTTTGCATAATGTTTTGAGTATGGTAGAAGTGTAAAAAGGTATTGAATTACCTGAAAATTTTAAATTTTCAGATGAATATTATATTTTATTATCATATCATGGTATAGGTTTCAAATTCATATCTTGTTACCTCCTATTTATGAAAATTTTTGCACACACCAGACTTTTGATCCGTAGCATGCATTTGAGAAGGTATATACTAGGATTTAATAAATAAATTATTTTCCATCTCACGTGCTAAGGTTCTAGGCGAGGTTCTTTTTTATTATATTACTACAAAATACCATAAAAGTGGGGTATCTATTTATAACAAGATTAAAAATAAATAATACGAAAGACGGGAGCATTGGAGTTATCTCCAATCAATGAAAGTACAATGTAAAAAGCTTGACCAGTTTAGAAGGAAGAAACAAATCTAGTTGACACGGGATGATTATAGTTCCGAGAATTAGAGTACGTGACTACGAACCCTGTTCTAGAAGTTTCCACTAGAAACACTTCACATCAAATTCACGTGCGTGCAGTGCAGTCCATGAAAACCCGGGGGAGTTGGGATATCCGAGAGCATGTTATTTTGACATGCTCGCATTTCTGTATATTTCTTTCAACGGATTGAGACACCAAACCCAATAAAGTGGACAAGAAAAAGTAATTTTATGCGGAAGCTCAAAACAGCATCTCGATCTTGTGCTTCATATGCTCCAATGATATATAGTCATATATAGAACGAGTTTGTGTACACATCACATATGTTTAATGTACAATACTATAAATGAAACTTAACAATACATCAAAATGGGCAAATTTTTTTATTTTTTTTCCCCGAGCCATTATTTCCTGTATACACGAGTAATTACATTCTTATTGGCATAGTCAAATCATCCACACTTTCGAATAACAGAAAGAAAGTGTGCAAGTCAATTATTTCCCCGCCAACAACACAAAATAAACTAATTTACTCTTTTCTAGTTCTCTTCATCAGTCTCTGATCTTTTCTTTCTAGGTACACAAAGGATAATCTACATACTGAAGCATTTTATCAAGTAGATACGAGATGGGAATTTTGTATCCAATGAACTCTGCAATAAATAAATACAATACAAGAGAGAATAAATANATTTTATCAAGTAGATACGAGATGGGAATTTTGTATCCAATGAACTCTGCAATAAATAAATACAATACAAGAGAGAATAAATATTAATAAGGATTCAAAAATTCTCAAGATAGAATCTATACATAAACTGCCTGTTGATAAAACAATAGGGTCTTGATTATAACATAGTATATTTCTGAAAATCAACTCACCATGCTTTGTTTTAGACGGGAACAGCGGTTTGTTCTAAGCTTTCTTTCCCTGTAATACCATCCTTCAGAGTCTGGAAGTACACATTATAATCCTTTTCTGGAGGAGGGTTTTCAGGATCCACTGTGTATGGCTCACTGAATGGAATGACACTTTTAACCTGTAGAAATAGAAAGAAGCATATCACCACATCCATTTAGTAGAAGATAGAATGATTTGCCCATACTAACGTTAACACATAAACCAACCTCAAATGTCTTGTCACATACATATGGGCTTTCAAGAGCAGCAACACATATTCGAGCAACCTCTTCCCTGGATATCTTCCCCTGAACATGCAAAAATACAAAATTTTCCATTAATTAAATTATGCATCTTCTAGCTATGCAACATTTACTATTGTAAATCCTAATACAGTTATATTGTCTCCTTGATCAAAGATGAGTTCAGCTCCAGCAGGCTCTTCGGTTAATGCACAAGGCCTGACGATGGTATATGGGACACCACTTTCGCGTAGCACATCCTCCCCCTACCAAATGATTAACTAGGATCAGAACACAAATTACACAACAATCTCTAAATATCTTTAGCAAATGAATAACCCATGTTCTGACTGGCACAAGAGTCGCCAGAAAGATGTATTTTCTGAAGATGGAAGATCGTTATCATATTTTAGCTGCAAAATAATCTAAGTTTTATTTTCGGCTGGCATCCTATTATGCTTTAGGATGCCTGGGAGAATAGATTCAACTATGCAAGAAGCATAATAAACTGCCCATGCTTGAATTAAATGACAATTATTCTGCGTATCTCAGCTTAAACCTTCAACTTGAATGTAAGAATGAAGCCCAATTCTTTGTTCAACCGGACAGCAGGAGGCTGCTTGCTTAAATCAAGTCCTGGCCTTTCAGGTCTAGTGACACCGGCAGAGCTCACATGCACAAACCTTTGAAATTATTGAGTTAATGAAACAGAGATCAAACAGTTAGCTGCTCAACTCCATCTTTTCCAGGTGCAACAAGAACCGAGAATGACAAGGAGAAAGAATTTAGAAATGAACCTGGGATTGATTGGCTCTTTAATGTATGCCCTTATGGATGACACTGGAAGCTGAAATGAACCTTCAGTGAATGTTGGGTTTAATTTCCCATCATACTCAAACTTACTGAACATGAGCTGAAATTTGTTTATTCCATAATTAGAATGAGTAGAAAAATGGTAAACAATAGAATAGAAAATACAGAAGCCTTACACATAAAAATTGTCATGGATCATACCTGCAATGATATTATTTGGCTGGCATCAAATGGTGGTGCATCGGACACAGTGCGTGCTCGAAATATAGGCCTCAAAGAAGAGAAAGGCAAGCGGACCTGGAGGTAATTTACTAAAGCTTGAGAACTAAAGCCAATTACAATAACCAAAAGGTTTTAAGATCAAACTGTTACTCACCGATTGCCATTGGTCCTTTATGGTGTCAAAGCTGGATGTATAACCCACGGTATCCCAATCACGGCTAGTCCGAACAATGAGTTTATAATGGCGGCCATCACCTTTGAGGCGTAACTCAATACCATCATATGCCGAAAGATCTTCTGGTACTGAGAAATTCTGAGGACATAAACCAGCAAAAGTTTTTTGTTAAACAGCGTCACTACATGACAGCTCTACCATGCACAGCAATCAAAATGACCTTCCAGACTACAATATTGTGCTTATTCCCTAGTTTAGCTTGCCACATAAAACGAGGTAAAACTAAGGAGTAAGCACCAAAGCATAGTTAATTCACAGTAAATATAAGGTACATATGAACAAAACCGACAATGTAATGATGTAAACTTAGTAAAAATAAATTACATAGGAAAATGAGAGAGAGATAGAGAGAGAGTAAAGTACAACTCGCCTTTGTCCTAATGCTAGTAAATCCCCCATTGTTTGCAGTGGAAACAACCCCTGAAGAGAACACATGAATAGACAGAGTTCGGAAATAAAACTAGTGATGATTAGTCTATAGTAGGCATTGGTTGCACTAGCATTGAAATTCATGCAAGTGTGAGAAAAACAAACCTTTGAAAACCCCCGTGGGTCTACCATTTTCACCTCCATTTGGATCAATTTGAAATGTACTTTCACTCACTCCTCCCATGACAACATCATCTAAAGCACCCCAGGCAAGTTCTCTAGAAAAACTATCTGCAAGGTTTATAAGCAATTTCAAACCCAAATAGAATAGGAGAATGCAAATACGCAACAACTTAGAGCTACAAGTTCCCTAACAAGATTGGAGAAGAAAAGGGAAAAAATGGATATCAGTAATAAAGAACCTCAGGGTAATAGGAGAAGGCAAAAGAAATAATATTTGATCAGTAACTAATTTCAATAAGCAGACAAAATGTATATCCATGTATTAGTTCATCCTCGTTTGTAATTTTGTAAAAGTTGCAATTTAGGCGTGTGATACTTTAATGACTAGGGAACAAGAGATGGAAAAATGCTCTTGCACGCATGAGATCCAGGCATGATTTATCAACTGTGCTTGAAAAGAGCATACCTTCGAATCCAAAAATTAATTTTCCACTACGGAGTCCAACATTTTCCTTTACAGCATTTATAAGATTTTTCATCCCAATGTACTCCACCATTTCAGGCGGATCACCTTTAATCTGCTTTCACCAATCAAACAAAGGACCAGAGTTAATTGCAACTGACACACTTCCAGTTTGGTAAGCTGGAGATTTGAGCTCCTTAATAAAGAAAAAAATCCAACTCCTCAGATTTTTGCAAGCAATCAATTTACAACCTCTGGTTCAAAGAATTTGATTCCCTGAAAAACAACAGGATGATGGTTATGTAAGAAAGACATGAAGCCAAGAGCAACAAACAAGAGAAGTTAGAGAAGTTGACATCAAAGAAAGTACAACATTTAGAGGAGCAAATGCTGGAATAAGATTGTGATTCTTCTGACTTCATCAATATAACTTCAATTAAAAGCTAAACCTCAAAGACTCAAAACAGAATAAGCTTAATAAATACCTGACTGTATTTTGCCCTGTCGGCGGTATCGCCTTCCTTTGGGCCAACGATGACTGAAACAGCATTAATAACCTTTCTCACTCCTTTAAAGTACACAGGTAACAAGGTGCTCGCCTTGGTGATGTCTCCAACAATCTGATTTTATAAAACCAACACAATCAAACACTTGAGAGTAGAATTGGAAACTTTTTTTAAACCTTTCGGCAATATACCATGTTTATTGCATCTTCAGAAATAGTCACAAGTGATTATGTTCTGAATGGACTGTCAACATTTTGGGGTCTTTCAATATATAGGATATAGATTGCCAATGTAAAGATATTGATGTTCATAAGCTATTCTGAGGTCTTCTATAATCTATTTTCTTCCTACTGCAATTGAT